GGTGTTCCAGGTGGTACTGGTAGCCAGAAAAAGGGACCACCTGAGGACCCGGGGTGACATGACTTGGGGTGTTTGCTTGTCGGCAGCTAAGAGGCCTAAGAGGGGCTTATGGTCCGTAGCAATTGTGAAAGGGCACCCATAAATGAAGTTGTGAAACTTCTTGACCCCAGCAACGATCGCCAACCCCTCCCTGTCGATTTGCGCATAGTTGCACTCCGCGGCCATTAAGGTTCTGGAGTAATAGGCCACGGGAACCTCGCGACCGTCAGGGAGGACGTGGCCCAGCACTGTGCCAATGCCGTAGGGAGAGGCGTCACACGCAAAGACAACTGATAGGGATTCATCAAAATGGTCCAGCACATCATTTGAAATTAAAAGCGCTTTCACCCCCCTGAACGCCGCCGCTTCCCTTGGGCCCCAGGACCAAGGAGCCGACTTATCCAGGAGCCAGTGTAGAGGCTCTTTTTTTAAGATTTCAGATTTTTCTTCCAGCCAGGGACAATTTTCAGGTTTCTAGAAAGTTCTGTCTTGTCTGTTCATGGCTTCAGTCTCTAGATTTAAATATTGGCAGATTTGGCCATGTTAAGAATTAGATATATTGATACCTGTCAAGTACATATCTTCTAAATTTAGGGAGGCCAGAACTTCCATTTTGGCAGGAGACCTCCTGTCTCCCACTGACTCAGCAGAGTGGCAGCGGAGGCAGGTGGCGAAGTTGTCAGGGGACACCACGGCCATCAAGACATCGTCAAAGAACGGCATCACTCCAGGGATCCGTTTTAACAATGAATCCATTAATTGTTGGAAAATCTCCGGGGATGCTTACGCCGAATTGTAACCTCTTTACCTTAAAGGCCCCCCTGTGGGTGACTATCGTTTGCACCGTTGCCGTGCCCTCGTCTACCGGCAACTGTTGATAGGCTTGCACCAGATCTAATTTCCCAAATGTCTTAGCTCCCACCAGAGAGGCCAGAACATGACTGACGACCGGGACTGGATAGGAGTGGTCGTATAGGGCCTTATTAATTGTGCATTTATAGTCCGCATCTGTGCTTAAGGCGGGTTACGATAGGTGTTTCCCATATGGCATGTGAAACGGGCTCCAAGACCCCTTGCGCTACCAAGCGGTCCAGCTCCGCATCAATTTTTGGTCGTATGGCGAGTGGAGCTGTGCGGAAACGCATGTGGATAGGAGCCACCAGGGGGTCTAACTGCAAGAAAACTGGGGGGCCCTTGTAACACCCTAAAGCCCCATCAAAAATGGCGGGGAACTCCCTGCAAACTTCTGCAAAATCCCTAGTACCACATTTATTCACTACCCCGACCGTGATGCCCAGCGGCGCAAACCAGGCCTGGCCCAGCAGACTGACCAGATTCCCCTCCACCACAATCAAGTCCAACAGTCCCTCGAAACCCTGGTACTGTACCCAGAAAGTCCCCACTCCCCTGATAGGAAATGGGTTCCTTTGGAAGTCCATCAAACTCAAAGGGGATGGGCGTAAGCGGGGTCCCCCCTTAGGGCAAAGTCTGTGTAGCATGTCCACCAAAATGATGGACGCTGCCAACCCCGAGTCCACTTCCATTGGGCAGGGGGACCCCTCGATCTGGACCATTACTTGGATCTTCGGGGTATCCGATAAATTAGGGAGGCGTAGTACCTGGAGGGATGGCCGGTCTGTGAGGAGGTAGAGGTTGGAAGTTTCTGCTGCTGTCTCGTAGGTGGCAGTGGCCTGGCGGCACGACTGAACTGGAGGCTGCTGATGCCGGCTTCCCTTGGACCAGCAGACATGAGCGAGATGACCCTGTTTTCCGCAGGTGTGGCACGTCGCGTCGTGGAATTGGCAGGACTTACGCTCGTGTGCCTCTCCGCAGCTTGCACACGAGGAACGGCTGGTGGTCTTTCCAGGGGCTCCAGATGCAGCAGGTCCCGGTGGCTTTCGGTGAGAGGGCAGGCAGACGAGATGGACGTCCTCTTCCGAGTTTTTGGGGCCCGAATTGGGGAGTACTAGATGAGACGCTGCCGGGGGACGGTCGCGGTGGGAGGCCTCGTGGGCGATGGCGAGTTGTAGGGCCTCATCAATCTTGATGTCGGCGGTACCAATCATCTTCCTCCGCAGCTTTAGGTCGCTGATGCCCCACACAAATTGTGTAGTAGGTTCTCCTCCACCTTGGTGAAGGCACAGTCCATGGCCAGCTGGCGCAGGGCTGCCATGAAAGCCACAGCCGACTCACCCGGTTTCTGGAACTCAATCGGCCTGGTGAGCATAGTAGGCCGGGGCATGAGGTACTTTGTCAGGGCATCTATTATTTCCTCATACAAGCACTCGAGGATCACCTGGGGTGCGAGGAGGCTCTTTGCGAGGCGGACTGTGGTCACACCACAGGTCATTTTCCTGGATCTGTTACCTCATTGTAGGCGAGGTGGCAAGTCAGTTGGTACGTCCATGAATCCCAGAGTTCGGGATGGGCTGGATCGAAGATCTCCAAGTTCCCCCGAGCAGAGGCCATGGCGTAGCGCTTAGTGGGGAGCGGTGTTCCTTGACGTGGTGCGCGGTGCGGTGCTGCTTGAGAGTGATGCAAGGCACGGTGGCGTTGGCTGGAACGAAGCTGGGTGCTGCGCTGGGATACGAGCCAGGCCTGGCTCAGCAGAATCCCATCCTCATTTCCACTGAAAAGTACTGGGTTCGCAGCATGGAGGACTCGGACGATGACATGAGTTTGCACTCATTTATTGTACTTAACATCGAACTGCAAAATGGCCCTGCAAGGCCAACTATATACACACCCACCCAGCACACCCACAGTCCCATTGGGGTTTTTGAATTTTCCGCCACAGTTCCTATTGGTCCGTGCTGGGGGAACTAGGATCCTAAGTTCCTATTGTCTTGAGGAGCTAAGCTCCTGCCTGTAGCCGCGGACCCCTGCTGGCGGTCCGTGTACATAACAGCCCTGGTCTTTAAACTCTTCACCTGCCTTAGCCCTTTCAGCTTTTAGCACTTCAGTTCCTGTCAGAAGATGCCCCGACAGATAAGATTGCACCTGACATATTATGTATTTCTTGTCAACTTGAAATCGAAGATGGATGGTGAGAAAATGGAGTCCAGTACCCCAGTGGGTATAATCTCTCCTTTCTCAGGCTGCATTGCTAAAGGAAATCCATCTTGGAACACCCCTGTCTGTGCTGCATGCGTGTGATTCCCACATTTTAAAGCATGTTTTGTGCAGGGGACAAAAACAACCTCTCTGCCAGCCCAGGAGGTTTGCAAAGAATCCTTATTTAGCTGACTGGTCCTTTACTTCAGACACATACCAGCATTTGTCTTTTCTAATATCTTCAGGGCCAGAAGTTTAAATGGAAAATCAACTTGCCCCGAATGAGCCTTAACTGTACGCCTCTCCACCCATTGCTGAAGAAGGGAACACAGCTTCTTCCCCCCCCCCCCGGCTTCTGGCTGGCCTGTCAATTTCTGTCATCAGCAATCAAATACCCCCCCCCCAATCTTAACAAGCACAGATGTTGCAGGGAAACAAACACAATCAGAGTGGGTTAGATCAGAGACAAGGCGCACTGTGTGCCTCTCTAATTGGCTGGTCCCCGGACGGAGAGAGACACTCTCACAGCTCTTTTCTAATGATAAGTCTTCTGATCTTCTTCATTAGCTGGCAATTTACTATTTCCAGAATGTGAGGCGGAGAGGTGGTTGACGGCTGCTCTGATAAGGGTGGGAATGCAAGGCTTTGATTAGGGCTTTCTGTGCGTGTGCGTGCTCTGTTGACTCGACACAAACAGGGAAAAGCGCACAATGTCACCCAGAGCACAGAAATTGGAGTGTCGGAGTTTTCATTCTAACAGCTCCTCCCCATCAAGGTTCTTGGCCTGGCCGTGTGGGCCTGGGGGATTGCGGAAGCAGCATGGCTTTGGAATAAGCTTGTCCTAGCTGGGGGACAGGGCTTTGGTGCTATTGTGTAGTGGGTTAAACGCATGCTAGAACCACTGCGGCAGGTGGAGTGACCGCATGGTTCGCTGGACACAAAAAGACTAAAGACTAACGGCCGACTGGCCAACTATGTACACCCTGGGGACCACCCCCTTGGTCCAGTTGGTGGGTTTAAACTCCCGCCGAAGTCCCATTGGTCCCCCCAGAGGAGAGACCAGGAGCCTTGGCCCCGTTCTCCAGAGTCAAGCTCTGGGGTGTTCGCTGGCCCCTGGTGGTGGTCAGCGTACACAACAGGTGCCTTGCATAGCATTTGACTGGCAGGAACAGAATAACAATTCAAGGATCATGCACATCTATGCCATTTGCAGAATTTACACAGGACACAGATTCAACCTCTCCTCAGCAATCAGTTTGGGTAATTTTGGTATTTGATTGAGAGTCAGCATAGTGTAGGAGCTGCGGTGGCTCAAGTGGTTAAGACACTAAACTGCAGGCTGTGGAAGGTCAGTAGTTCAGCCGTTCGAGACCCGGGTGCCGCATGATGGAGTGAGCTCCCATCTCTAGTTCCAGCTCCTGCCAACCTAGCAGTTCGAAAGCAAGAAATTGCAAGTAGATAAATAGGTACCACTTCGGTGGGAAGGTATCAGCGTTCCGTGCGCCTTGGTGTTTAGTCATGCCGGCCACATGACCACGGAAACGTCTTCGGACAGTGCTGGCTCTTCGGCTTTGAAACGGAGATGAGCACCGCAACCCTAGAGTCAGACTCGACTGGCTTTCAAGCAAGGGAACCTTTACCTTTTACAGCATAGTGTAATGGGTGGAGTGTCAGGGTTAGGGTCTGGGAGACCCAGGTTCGAGTCCACATTCTGCCATGGAATCTCGTTGGGTGACCCTGGGCCAGTCACAAGCTCTCAGCCTAACCTACCTCACAGGGCGGTTGTGGAGATAACAAGGAGGAGAGGAGAATGATGTAAGCCTCCTTGCGTCTCCACTGGAGAGAAAAGTGAGGTATAAAGGAAGTTTAATTTTAAAAATTGTGTTGACTGATTTATGTCCCAAACACCGATAGGTCCCCAAAGAGAGACTGAGGCTGTTCCTTCCAACCCCAAAATTATCCTCCCCTATCCACCTGAGCTAGGCATCACTTGTGGGTGGGGTAGGTGGCCACAAAGTGGATTCTGGGGGAGATGGAAAGACAGGCCCGTAGCCAGGATTTCTTAAAGTCAGGGGGCATTTAGATTTCTCAGGGGGCCCTGGCTGATCAATTGAATCCGGGGGAGGAGGCCACAACGCCCTGGGCTGGATGGGGAGTCGCGGGGGGCCTTGCCAGCAAGTTGGGGGGGGGCTAGCCCCAAGATGCCCCCCCACTGGAGCTACGGGCCTGGATCAGGCCCTGTTGAGCAGCACTAGGGTACAGGGGCAGACCAAAACGGTCTGGCGCAAAAGCTGCCTGGAGAGCAGCCAGTCACCCTCACTGCTGCCGAAGGGAAACCCCTCTGGATCTTCCTAGAGATGCCAGGCCTGGCCTGATCATGGTGGAGGACGTGCAACATGAAGCTACCCTATACTGAATCAGACCCTTGCTCCATCACAGTCAGTCTTGTCTACTCAGAGTTTGGCATTGTGACATGGGGTGGCGGGCACACCCAGAAAATGGCTGCCACAGGAGGTAGAGCCAGCCAAAAAGGAGGAGGAGGAGGAGGAACTGCCAGGCCTTCCTTTCTGCTGCACAGTGAAGATCCTGGTGCCGTGGTGGCTGCTGGTGTCAAGGCAACCTTAAAAAAAAATCTGCACAACCAATCACATCTCCAGCGGCCAATCAGA